CGCAACCAAGGTACATGCCCTTGACCAGAATCGAACCTGGGACCCTTCAGTCCGCAGGCCGATGCTCTATCCACTGAGCCAAACCAGTTAGGGCGTAAAATATAATTTTTAATATATATCTTTTTTGTTTATTTGATAGTCCTCACCCGAGGCTATTTTTCCATTGATTTTTAGAGAGAGTGGAAGGGAGGGGGAGAGACAGAGAGAGAGAAAGATCTCTGTGAGAGAAAGGCATCGATTGGTTGCCTCCTGCACAGGCCCTGACCAGGGCCAGGGATCGAGCATGCAACCCAGGTACGTGCCCTTGACTGGAATTGAACCCAGGACCCTTCAATCCAGGGGCCAACACTCTAATAATATATATCTTTTTTTAAAAAAGATGATAACCTTCTTCTTCTTCTTTTTTAAAATATATTTTTATTGATTTCAGAGAGGAAGAGAGAGGGAGAGAGAGATAGAAACATCAATGATGAGAGAGGATCGTCAATTGGTTGCCTCCTGCACACCCCCCCACTGGGGATGGAGTCTGCAACCCAGGTACGTGCCCCTGACTGGAATCAAATCAGTCCTCAGGCCATATCCACTGAGCCAAACCCGCTATATATATCTTTTTTAATGGAGGAATGAGCCCACAAAGGCAAAAGTGCCAAGAGCCCATGAAAGTAATAATGTGGCCCTCACTTTCTTCTTTTTTTAAAAAATATATTTTTAGCCGAAACCAGTTTGGCTCAGTGGATAGAGCGTCAGCCTGCGGACTGAAGGGTCTCGGGTTCAATTTTAGTCAAGGGCATGTACCTGGGTTGCGGGCACATCCCCAGTGGGAGATGTGCAGGAGGCGGCTGATCGATGTTTCTCTCTCATCGATGTTTCTAACTCTCTATCTCTCTCCCTTCCTCTCTGTAAAAAAATCAATACAATATATTAAAAAATATATATATTTTTTATTGATTTCAGAGAGGAAGGGAGAGAGGGAGGGATAGAAACATCAATGATGAGAGAGAATTATTGATCGGCTGCTTCCTACTCGGGATTGAACTCACAACCCAGGCATGTGCTCTTGACTGGAACTGAACTCGGACCCTTCACTCCGCAGGCTGACGCTCTATCCACTGAGCCAAACCAGCTAGGGCTGAGGCCCTCACTTTCAGCACTCCAAGAGGTTAGTTCCTTCAGGAGATCTTTATAGACGGACTAGGGGAAAGGATGGGAGGGGACGGAGATGGGAGATGGGGAAGAGACGTACAAGACCCGCTGTTTGTAATCTCACTGTTTGTGATTTCTCCTGTACTGTCTCTGAACTTGATCTCTGCTTGGACCCAGTGGGTAGGGGACTGCATGATACGTCTTAAAATACCACATCACTAGTTGATGTCACTAGTTGGGTCAGGAATGTAAATATACAACTCAACAAGAACAACAAAACAAGCCAATTAAAAAATGGGCTAGGGGCTTGACTAGACATTTCTCCAAAGAAGATATACAGTTCAACATCACTAATCATAGGGAAATGTAATCAGAGCCACAATGAGATACCACTCCACACCCATTAAAATAGCCACTATATAAAAAGATAAAGTAACGAGAATGTAGAGCAATTGGGCACTGCTGGTGGGAATGTAAAATGGTGCAGCCACTGTGAAGAACTGTTTGGCAGCCTGGCCGGCGTGGCTCAGTGGTTAAGCACTGACCTATGAACCAGGAGGTCATGGTTTGATTCCAGGCCAGGGCACATGCCCAGGTTGTGGGCTTGATCCCCAGTGTGGGGCGTGCAGGAGGCAGCAGGTCAATGATTTCTCTAATCATTGATGTTTCTCTCTCCCTCTTCCTTCCTCTCTGAAATCAATAAAAATATATTTTAAAAAAGAAAAAGAGTATGGCAGATCTTCAAAAAACTTAAACATAGGATTACTACATGATTCAACAATTCCACTTTTGGGTATATAGACCCAAAAAATTGAAAGCAGGGACTTGGAGAGATATTTGTATGCCCATATTCATAGCACCGTTATTCACAATAGCCAAAAGATAGAAACAACGGAAGTATCTATCAGTAGACGAATGGATAAACCAAATGATATAAATAATATAATTCAGCCTTTAAAAAGGAAAGAAAGTCTGACACATGCTACAACATGGATGAAACCTGGATATGTTATGCTAAGCGAAATAAATCAGACACAAAAGGACAAATGTTAGATGATTCCACTTATATAAGGTACTTAGTCAAATTTATACAGATAGGAAGTATAATGGTGGTGGTTACCAAGGGCTGGGGGGAGAGGGAATGTGGAGCTACTGTTTAATGAATACAGAGTTTAGGAATATGGAAAAGTTCTGGAGATGGATGGTAGGGATGATTGCTCAGCACTGTGAATGTTAATAATATTACTACACTGTCCACCGAAAAATGGTAACACATATTATGTGTAATTTACCGCAAATTTTAAAAAAAGAGAAAAGGAATGTAAATACCTCCCCTTTTACCCAAGCGCTAATTGCTCAGCTAGCTGCCAAAGCATCTCTTCGATTCCCTATGAAGGTCCTCTGCCCTCTCTTTCTCTCTTTCAGAACACCCTTCAGGGGAAATGCAGCTTCACACATGGCACTACCTCCATCGGAATACTGTCTATACCCCACTCTGCCATATCCATTCGTCAAGGGTAAGGGCTCCGCCCCTCCCCCACTCACGAAGACTTTGCTAACCAATCTAAACTTCTACCCATTTCTCCCACCAGACAACTAACAGTCTGAATTGTGTGCATCACTAACCACTGAGGACATAGTTTTAGCTTTCCTTGGGGTTCTCATGCACCCGTTTCCACATCAGTAAAACAGACAATGCCTGTCCTAATGATAAGTGAAACTGTGTATATGAAAACAAAGGTGTATGGGCCAACCAAGTCTTTACTCCTCCCTTAACCTAACTAGCACATAATGAAAGTAATCGATGAATATATTATCTCATAAGCAGCTCAGCTTGGTGGGAATCCATTCTCCAAGTGATGAGAGCATAACTCCAGGAACAATGGGTTTTTGATACTGGAGTGTGTCACCAGAGGAGTGGAATTAGAAAGATGCAGAATTCCTTTCCAGGAAAAGGTGGGTTTCTAACAAACACCTAATCACCATCATCATCATCATCAATGTTATTGAGAGCTTACTAGATCTGAGACACTGCACTAGTTGTTTTATATAGGTTGTCTTATTGAACCCTCACAAATAACCCCAAAAGATAGGTATTATTTCCCCCATTTTACAAATAAGGAAACTGGAGCTTAGAGGTTAGAGAACTCCCTCAGTGTCACAAAGCTTTAAGTGGTAGTGCCAGGAACTGGCCCAGCCCAGGAGACTTAGATGCAAATGGCACTAAAGTGCACCCTAGTTGCCTTCTGCTTCCTCCCAGGAGCTTTCAGGGCTGAGGCAGCCGGAGGGCCTCTCCTCTGGCCTGAGGCCTCAGGGCATTCAAAGATTGGGCTGGGGTGAGGATGTCGAGAAAGTGTCTACCGTTCCAACCGGAAAAGGCCTTCACCTACCTCCTGGAGAAGGCGTGGTTGGGAGGCTAGTCATTGCCGCAAGCGGATGGGCACCTTGAGGACCTGGAGAAGGTGTGACTGGGAGGCTAGTCATTGCTGCACGTGGTGGCCAGATCTGTAGGAAGAGGGGGGAAAGACAGGAATGAGGTGGGGGGCTGGAGACAACTGGAAATGCAGAAAAGCCGTTGGTGCCAGATTCTCCTGGCCCCTTCCACATCCCCGCTTCCCTGTGGAGCTGGTCCTAATAAACGCTTGCTTGGTTTCCCTGGTATCTTCTCGGGCTGCAGTTATCAAGAGCAGATCCGCGAGACCACCTGTATTGGGGTGCATCATCTTTCCCGGGGCCACATTTACCCGGAAGATTTCTCCAGGCCCGAGAAAGTTGGGCACAGGTATGCACATGAGCCGCAGGTACCCAGTTCTCTCACCCCGGGAGTTTGGGCGGAGCCACCCTCCCGGTGTCGGGGTTGGGGGTGCGCAGCACCTGCACCTGCTCGGGGGGGTGTCCTGGGGGCGGTGGTGCAGGGTGAGCCAGGCAAAGGAACGCGGAGGTGAGGGGCCTTAGTCGCCTCTTGGCCTGAAACAACCGGTCCACCGGGCTTGGCCCGCTCCCCGCAGTCCTCCCTGCACCGTCCACCGGCGGCGCCGTCCGCGCACAGCCTACCGAGCTCCGCTGGCCGGCCACGAGGGCCGAACCCCACCTGGCATCGGACACCGGGGGACTCCGACCCGTCCCCGGCGCCTGGTCTCGCCTCGCCGCGCGGCCCCGCCCCCGGGCCGCGTCCCCCGTCCCCCGTCCCCCGTCCCCCCGCGTTACCCGCACCCGCGTGGTCGCTGCGCTCCGAGGGCGCCTCCGCCGAGAGCCGAGCTCGGGCCGCTCTCGGTTTCAGTTCCTGCCGGGGCTGAGTGTGGGCGACGGGCCGGCCGGCTCCCCGCCCTCCCGGCCCCCTCCCCGCGTGCTCACCTTACCAGTCGGGCGGGCTGCGGGGCAGGGCGGGCGCCGCTCCGCGCGTCCTTCTGCACTCGAGGGGGCGGGACCGCAGACCCTCCGGGGGACGCGGCGGCCGGGCCCGGGGAGGCGCGCGGAGCCGGCGGGTGGGGGGCCGGCGAAGGGGTGGGACAGGAAAAGAGGAGAGAAGCCGCCCTCTGCAGGTTCGCTCGGCCCGCCCGGCACTGCGCCCCGGGAGGAAAGGCTGCCTTTCCTTCTCCGCCGGTCGCGGTGCCGTCCATCCGGAGCCCTTCCTCCCTCGCCCGAGGCTGGGGGTGGGGGCCGTGGGAGCGGAACCCGGCTCACTGGGACCCGCTCGCTTTCCTCGCGACCGGCTTTATTTGAGTTTTCAGTGAATGTGGGAAATCACAGTGACTTGCGTTTCCTTATCACTTAGGCAAATAGGTCTGTGCAGAAGCGGAGCGCAAGGTAGCTTCCCGCGGGCGGGCAGCGGGGAGGCGCGGGGAGAGGGACGCCGCCCGGACGGACGGGTCTTCCTTGTGGACATTCGTCTGAGGCTGGGGAGCGGCATGGCCTTTGGACTCACACCGTCTCCGCTCGGCCGCTTGTTGGTTGTTGACTTTGGGCAAATAACTTAACATCTCTAAAGTCTGTTCCTACCCCTGGAGGGGGGCCGAAGCTGGCCGTGCCCGAGAAGCCGTTTCATTTCGCAGACATGGTCTGTACGCGGCAGGATTTAATCAATGCCGTACTGCAGCCACCTCTTGACTCACTTCTTTGTGGCAGGAAAGTTGCCCAATTAACGATGAACTCAGTGACTAAGGATGGGCTGGTGTACACACAGGCTGAAATCTGCTCTGCCGCGGGATCTTGGGTAAATTACTTGTTTCATTTCTGTTGGTGGGGCAATCCTTGTCTCATAGGAACTGTGAGGATGGAATGGGTTACTACATCTCATGGCACACATAAACTAATTACTAAAATTCTAGGGCACATAAAAATATTTTTTGCCGATCTGACAAAAAAAGGTATAATTTTGATTCAGTCACACTGGACGGCTAATGTGTTCGCTGTTGTCATTTTAAAAATTTGACAACCTAGTCAGGTATTGCATGTTTTAAAAGTTCTTGCGGCACACCGGTTGGAAATCACTGACCTGAAGCACTGGAACCTTACCTGGCATCTAGTAAGTGCTCGATAAATGCCCGCTACTGTTATCCCGGCTTCCTACGTGGGTCAGAGCTCTGGTGGTTATTCTGCCTTCCATCCCAGTGATACAGACTTCTGTGCTTCTTATTCTTGTGAAGCGTTCTCTAGGTTTGGGAACCAATATTTACATAGATCGACAGAGAGACAGGGATTATGCAAGTTTATTTGGGAGACAAAAACTGAGAGAAAGTCTCAGAGAATAAAGGCACAGTGTGAGAAAAAAAAGCAAAGACATGAAATAAGCAAGGGTAGTTGCTTTCATTTCTAAAGATGTTATTTGGTTGGTAAAAGCAGGATAAAACAGAATAAGTTGATAAAGTTCATTTTATTTAAATATATCTTTAAAGGCATAGCAGTGATCAGTGAAGAAGAAAGCCCAGGTGTGGGAAAACTGCTCCTCCAACCAAGAATGTAACACACAGGCAAGTCACATCTAAGTTAGTGGAAGGTCAGCCGCACCAGTCCTCACATAAGAGAATACTCAAGAGAAGAGGAAATTCAGATCCCAAGGGTTAAACTCCAAAGGTGGACACTTGCTTGCATTTACTGACAAGCTGACCATGAATTCCAGGTAAGGCTGAAATTTTTCTTGTTTCTTGGTTGGTCTCTCTCAGCATATATTCCATTATGTATTGAAAATTGTTAGAACCACAGACTCTCAGAGGCCATCTAACTGAACTGACTGACTACTGATCTGCACTGTTACTTTCATAATTTAAAGGTTAACAGTCTCTCACAAGCATCTTTTTTCTCTGTAAAATGTAACCTTAAAAGTTTTGCTGATATGTGATTTGATCCCTGCAGGCACATACCATTCATTTTAAAAGCGTAAACATGTAGAAAGAGGACCCAGTATGTACACGCTCAGCACCAATTTAGCGGTGTGTACACTCTGCTCTTTGCTATACCCTAGATGACCTGGATATTTCTAGTGTACTCTGGACATATTACCTAGTCTGTCAATATTGTCCTTCAAATTGATAGAAAGCAGGGACTGGGTGATGTTCTTACAATTAATTCTACACAGAGATGCATACAGATGATGAATGAAGCCTCACGTGGTGACCTGCCAGTGTTCTCCGAGGACTAAATGCTAAACCTCAGAAACTAGAGCAGCCATCCTTTTGTCAACAGATCTCCAAGGGCCTCAGGACAGGGGATAAGAGATATTCATCTCTGCCCAATTTTATTGGATTTCAGCCCTTTATGCTGCTGCCAAGATGAGTCTTCTGAGTCCTGACCTTTTCCCCCTGGACAACTTTACCATTTTGTATATCTCAATAGACAGTTTGGTTCTTACCTGGGAATAGCTATCTTAGATAAGCAAAATTATCACTCATGCCCAACCTACTGGCCCTTTCTCCTGCCTTTCTGGACCCTCCAGTAGTGCGATATACAAACAAAGCGTTCATTTCACAAAGAGAATCAATTTCCTAGGAGGAGAGGGTCAGTGAAAGCCCTGCAGAGAAAAGGCCTGAACTGGGTTTTGCCAGGTGAATGGGTGGGGCATTCCAAGCAGCACAAAGAACGCCTTGGACAGCTAGGGGCCTGTATTCCCAGCAGTTTCCCCACCCTTCTAATGCCCCTGGAGTATCACTCCCAGCAGTGACTCGGAGTGCTAAAGGACTGGGGTGCCTTCTAGGAGAGGTATTAAAATACAGGCAGTAGGCCTTTTAGAGGGGGGCATGCAACCTTCTCTCCATTACAACAGAAGAGATCCTCTGAAGGTTTTTAAATAAAAGAATAGCAGGATTCAATCTCAGAAAAATGACTTCTAAATACAAATATGTAGCCTGGATGGTGTGGCTCAGTGGTTGAGCATCAACCCATGAACCAAGAGGTTCATGGTTCGATTCCCAGTCAGGGCACATGCCTGGGTTTTGGGCTCGATTCCCGGTGGGGGGTATGCAGGAGGCAGCTGATCAATGTGTTTCTCTCATTGATGTTTCTATCTCTCTCCCCCTCTCTCTAAAATCCGTAAGTATGTATTTTTAAAAAATAAATATAAACATGTATTTCCAGTTCCCTAATGGAAATATCTACTGGAAAGTCCTGCAAGTTCTCAAATATTTGTATGAGATACCCAAAAATCTGCACATAAAGCATACAATTTGATCAGTTTTGACACATGTATACATGGAATAAACTATGACCACAATAAAAATTAAGAACATTTTTATCACCCCAAAAGTTTCCTTGTACTTTTTTTGGTTATAAATATGTTTTCATTGATTTCAGAGAGACGAAGGGAGAGGGAGAGAGAGACAGAAACATCAATGATGAGAATTATTGATTGGCTGCCTCCTGCACACCCTCCACTTGGGATGGAGCCCACAATCTGGGTATGTACCCTGACCAGGAATCAAACTGTGACCTCCTGGTTCATAGGTCAATGCTCAACCACTGAGCACCACTGGCCAGGCTCCTTGAACTTCTTTGTAATCCATCCTCCTTACTACCATCCCTCCACTGGTCTTCTTCCTGTCATTGTAGACACGAACATGCCTCCCTCCAAACTGGGCCCATCAGGGTCTTTCTCCAGGGAATCTGGATCTGGAAAGGACACAGTGGCAGAAGGTGGCTGAAGCTGTCCTCCAATGACAACTGCCTAGAGCAGCAGTTCTCTACCTGTGGGTCGCGACCCCTTTGGCAGTCGAACAACCCACCCTTTCACAGGGGTTGCCTAAGACCATCCTGCATATCAGATATTTACATTACGATTCATAACAGTAGCAACATTACAGTTATGAAGTAGCAACGAAAATAATTTTATGGTTGGAGTTCATCACAACATGAGGAACTGTATTTAAAGGGCCAGAAGGTTGAGAAACACTGGCCCAGAGGGACAGTCCACACATTCCTGCTACAGGTATCTGTGGGCTGGTTCTTGCCTTCTGCAGCTTGTTTGTTTTTTCAGTTCTATGAGCTGCCTAATATCCTTCTAACATGTCCTTCATTGCTTAATTGTGTCTGTTGCTTGCAAACATAGAACCCACATACACTGCACTTCCTCCTATAGTCACCATTTCAGGGAACGGCACCATGAAATTCTAGTCTCTCAAGCCTAACCTAGAATAATTCCTTAAAACTTGAGTCTTTATCATGTGTCATCTTCTAACACATTAAATCCTGCCCATTCTTCTCCCTGCTCAATATTCCGTCTCTATAAAATTCTTGTTCTACTCATTATTTCTCGAGTACCTAGTACAGTGCTTGGCACTGAGCAGGTACTCAATAAATGCCTGCTGAGTGATTGAACAAGAGGTGATATTGTCCATCACCCTTAGAAACAAAAACAGATGGATGGATGAGTATTTACATGTGTGCGTGTTGACCAGGGTGGCAAGACTTCTAAGTTAGCTTTTAATGTATGGCAGAAGCAAGTGATACAGCTGAACCAGGACTTTTGATTCCCAATTCCCTGCCGTTTCCATTGTATTATTATACTTTGTACCCTTTTCCTTGGAGTTCCGTTTCTTCTTCCATCCTGCTCAGGTCCTTACTTCACCAAGTACCAGACTATTAACACTAGATAGAACTCTAAAATATAACCCCATTCCAAGGGTATTTGCTTATTAACCAAGGGTAGGGGGTAGGTGCATGCAGTAGAGTATCTAGATCAGTGGTTCTCAACCTTCTGGCCCTTCAAATACAGTTCCTCATGTTGTGACCCAACCATAAAATTATTTTTATTGCTACTTCATAAATGTAATGTTGCTACTGTTATGAATCGTAATGTAAATATCTGATATGCAGGATGGTCTTAGGCAACCCCTGTGAAAGGGTCGTTCGACTGCCAAAGGGGTCGCAACCCACAGGTTGAGAACCTCTGATCTAGATTGAGGAGCTTGTAGCCCAGTGGTTCTCAACCTTGGCTGCACATTAGAATCACCTGGGAATCTTTTTAAAATCCTGATTTCTGGGTCTCATCCTCCGGAAATTCTGTTTCTTTGTTATGGGTGGGGCCACAACATTAGTAACAAAGAAACAGAATTTCCAGAGGACGAGGCCTCGAAATCAGGATTTTAAAAAGATTCCCAGGTGATTCTAATGTGCAGCCAAGGTTGAGAACCACTGCTGTAGCCCACGGCATCATCAAATAGTTAAAGCCAGAAGGTCAAGTGAGCTGGAGGTCATGGATGTGACTAAAGATTTCTGAACCCAGAGAAGCAATGACCTTGCCAACTCGGAGAACAGTGTGCTGGACTGGGACAACCTCCCTGTGTCAAGCAAAGACTCCATACATAGAATAAAGCTTTATTTAACAATCTGAAAATATGTTCTTTTGGCTTTAAGTCTTGAAAAATGAGTGGTAAATCCAAGATTTGTTTCCCGTTCTCTAGTATGTATGGTTGTGTGTATGCATCTATAGATGCTTTTGCTTGTTATAGTCATTTTAGCCCCACTTTATTTAATATATAAAGTCTTATTATATAACAATGCTAAAGTCTGAATTAAATATTCCCTGAGTCTAATAATCTCTTCTTCCAAGCCTGTCTGCCTCCCTCCTTCCCCTAAGTCTGCTCCTCAGCCTCCATTAATGCTAGGTCTTTAGAGACAACCAGCATCCACTTTGAGAACCTAGAAATGAATGTTAGACCTTAAGTCTCTGTGCTTATATACCCTCTAGCTGAAGAATCTCTCTGGGAGATGTACATATGCGGGAGGTCTTGGCAGTTACTCTTCAGAGTTGTGCACTTTGAATTGTAGATACCTGAAAAGTAAACATGATTGCATTAGATGCTCACCTGTCCTCCCACCAACCACTCAAGGAGGGTAAAAACTCAATTTGCTTCTATCAAACTATATTTCATGTCATGTAATATTGAGGGAAGTGAAGCTGGTTGTTGGGATTATTGTCAAAACTTTTTGCAGATACTGGTCATTGCATCCTTCATCATCTCTTTACAGGATTCACAGGAGAAAGTTCCTTTTCATCTTAGTAGCAGGAGTCGTTTGAAGGAAGGGCATGAATTGGGTGGACTGATCAGATTTTTCTCTTCTTGGATGTTTAGAAAGTCTGGAACCAATTTTGTGATCCATCCTTAGTAAGTTTATTTCATAGAATGTATTTTTCTACTTGCCTAATTCATCGCTCCATTTTATGTCACTGTCATTAATATATTTGAGTTACTTTGCTATATTTTGTGTGTGTATATGTATTTGCCTTTTTGTATGTAATTTCTTTTTCTTTTTGAAATAAGTTCAGAAATAAATAAGTACTTGGGATATAGGGCTATGGTGAGAGTTCAAGGCCAAGTGTTGGGGAATGGACACCCCAAACCCACAATGTCCTAGTTTACGCTTGGTTCCCCTGTTCCCACCTGCTTGATTTTGCTCTAAGGATATTGTTCACTGCTGGGTTCCCCTAGCAGCCACGGTGAAGATTCTAATCTGTAGTCAAACTTCTGTGCACTCCCAATGACCGATCTTACCACCCATCTTGGTCTCTGTGTACCTGTCCACCTTACCTCTTCTTGAAGCTCAGGTGCTGCGACGCTGCTGTCTTCTGGAACCACAGAGGCATGACGCCGGAGACCTTGGCTCTATAAAAAGAAGAGTTCTGCCAGTGAGAGGTGGCTCAACCTCCCAGCCTCTCAGCTCAGAAGGGTCTTCTGTGCCTTACACTCTACAGGGTCACAGACAATACAAAGGGTAAACATACAATGTTGTTTCACTACAGCCTGATGGCACCAGGGAAGGCTTTACTGTCATCCTCTTTCACAGGTCAAGATACCAAGATTCAGAGGGGGAAATGGCTTGCTGAGACAGGTATCCAGGTCTTTGGGCTCTAGAGTTGTTTCCATAGTCAGACACTGTAATTTGTGTGACATGCATCAGTATGTATGTTTATGTGGGAGTCTGTGAGGATATAAATATAGGTCTTAAGAACACTACCTACCACTTTTAGACTAACTCTCCTTAAGAATACACTGCAGAAGATGCAAAATCGCCCTCAGACTGTAAGGGTCCCAGATTCAATTCCGGTCAAGGGCATGTACCTTGGTTGCAGGCTCAATACCCCTGGCCCTAGTGCCCTGGTCAAGCTGTGTGCGGGAGGCAACCAATCGATATATTTTTTTTTTTTAAAAAAAGGAAGTTCTTTATAGTTTGCAAGGTAAATATGTTGTAGGAAGTTGGATAGACATGAGCAGAGCGAGCCAGAAGGGCCAGATACAGAAGGTCACCAGGGTGGAAATCCCCAGGTGCCTAGGAAAGGACAATTGTAGGGTGGGACCTCATCCCCAGGGTGACTTTTCCTCCCCTAGCATATACTGGTGAGGGAGGTTTGGACCTCGACTTTTCCTCTCTAGAGATAACATCTATGTTCCAGGCCCAGATAAGCAACAAAACCAGCCTCAGGACCAGGGGCATTAAATAATGACCCCGGCCCTGGGGCCAGCAATCAATCAGTGGAGAGCACAACCCAGACAGGACACACCTGGGAAACTGCTGAATATTCTATTGAGATCTTCCCCTGGGACCTTCCCTAAAATCTCAATCCTTAAAGCCCTTAGGCTGGAGGTCCCAGTGCGCTCTCCCGCAAGGGAGCACACCGTGCTTGTCCCTCCCTGCTTCTCCTCCCCGCAAGGTATGTGACCATTAGCTTTCCCACTCCCAAGCTCCAAGGGCCCTTCCTTTACCTCTGTAACTTGTTTCCTAAGCCAATTTCTTCTAGGAATTACTTTTCCTACCTCTGTAATTTACCCAATAAATGTTCTCTTACAAAAAAAAAAAAAAAAAAAAAAAAAAGAATACACAGCAGTTAACACACTGAGATGATCCTAACCTAACCTATGGCAGTTAGGAGAGGCAAGTGGTATGTTTTCTTTGGGAAAAGTTCTAGGTTCTGCAGTAGAAACCCAAAGTGTGAAAAGCTCTGCTGCTAAGCCAGGAGAAGGCCTTGGAACTCTACAATTAAGAATTAATTTATTTTTAATTGAAGTTTAATTCACACACTATAAATTCACCCTTTTAGAGTAGAACCAATTTCTATCAGTATGACAGCTACTTGAAATTTTCTGATTTTTCCTTTTAGGAAAATTTTCCTCTATTGTCTCCTCTGATTTCAGGCCAGGAATTACCTGAAAGGTAATACTACCTCCCAGAAAGTTATCATCCTCTCACAGGTATTTCAAATGCTAAGCAAGAACAAATTTCCTCATAGTGATCTTTTTTATATGTGATCCATTTTATATGTGATATGCCCATAATTCTGCTTGAGAGAAAATACGATTTATGATGTATCTGCAAGGGAAGGGAAGTAAACAGATCTAGTAGGACAAAGGTTTCAGAGGACTGATGACACTGATAGGCTAGGATCTAAGATGCTCTAGCTGCTTAATTCCATAGGAAAAATAGGTTTCCTTAGCTGATGACCAAAGCAATCCCACAGGAAAGGCTGTGAGTAAACACTATAATTCTCAAAAAAAACAAAACAAAAAACAGTAACACTGTAATTCCCAAATATAAGGAGGTCGCCTCAGGGGAAAGGAGGTTGTGTCTTGTACCTCTTCCCAAAGGAGAACGGTGTGATTAGCCTGTTCTTCAAAATAGACAGCAGCATCTTGGTCCCCATAATCTCCCTTTCAATAAGATTACTCCAAGAATGAAAATTTGTTTTATTATTCATCAGAGCCAAAAAGCTCACATTATTGCAGCCTCCATACTACAGTCATATATTACGAAGTCAAATATAAATTAATTTTGGATTTTCCATATTGTTGAGTTACTCTTCTCAGTGCAGAAATGTGAGAAGTGGCTATACTTGATTCGAAATCCCACAATTACCCTGGGCTTCTTCACTATCCATATGCCTCACATCTCTCTCTCTCAGCATAGTGACCTCACACCAGAAACCAGCCAAGAGAAAGTTTTATATCTTGCTCTGTTAGGACCTTCAATACCTCATGTGAATCAAGTCTCAGGGCATAATAATGTTGATGACGTAGATTTTAGTACCTCAGGGGAGTCAGCCAAGATGAGCTTGTTCTCTTCTTTGTCTTCCATCTTACTTGCCTTGTCAGATTCTGAAAAAACCTGTAGATCAAAGAGGACAACGTAGAAGAAAGTTCCAAACCTTCATACCCTGGATACCACCCTGGTGCCTGTTGTTCATGATAACTCCTCTCAGACGGCGGGAGGCTCCCAAGGTATCGTGGTCAACCTTCCTTAGGCACAGGCAGTGATAGGGTAGTGTGATCTGAGGGGTACCAGAAATCTCATACTCCCAGACAGCCACATGGCTCGTGCCCTGGCCTCTTTCATTGCCCCAACGTCACCTTCTCTGGCCACTCTCTGTTTAAAATCGCAATTCAGCCCCAATTCCCTACTTAATTTTTCTCCATATCTTTTATCACCACTAATTATAATTTTACTTATTTATTCTGTTTTGTATTCATCTTCTCCCCTCCTCCACTAGGACATAAGATGCAGGAAGGCAGGGAATTTTATGCTTTGTTCACTGTAATACCCCACTTCCTAGGAAAGTGCCTGGTACATCGTAAGGACTCACTAAGTAATTGTGGAATACGTGAATTAATGAATCTTGGTACCATACAGTCAGATGTCTCACCAAAGTCCTCCCTACACTGCACCTGACAGATGATCATATATCTTAGCTTTTAATATCAAGGAAGGAGAACTATTTGTCATGGTGGCCCATCACATTTTGTTGTTTAGAAGCCCCTTGTGTCCCCTTTCTTATATATATATATATATATATATATATAATATTAATATTTTTATTGATTTCAGAGAGAAAAAAGTAGAGGAAGAGAGGCCTAGAAACATCAGTGATAAGAGAGAATCACTGATCAGCTACCTCCTCCACGCCTACTGGGGATTGAGCGGCAACCTGGGTATGTACCCTAATGGAATCAATCGTGGCCTCCTTCCTGGTTCATGGGCTGACGCTAAACCACTGAACCATACTGGCCGGGCACCCCTATATTTAAAAAAATTTTTTCCATACCATTTTTTAACAGAGCTAATTGCTGAAAGTTCCCCTGGTATTGATTCAAAATGTACTTTAAAAAATCTTTATACATAGGGCCTAGTTCTGCCCTCAGGAATCTCATAGAATACATCAAATCTCTCTATGATAGCCTTTCCGTCTGAATAGAATATGACTTGATTGCTAGATTCTTCACAGACCTGCTTGTTCTCCAGAGGGACTGTCTCTATTTTAACACCATTCTTTTCTCATCCACATTTTCATCTGTCAAAAGCCCATCTTTTTTGCTTTCCTTCCTCTCTGAGTTCCTCCTAGGTCTTTCTTATCAATGAAATGATTCTTTGCCAATTTAGTTGAGGTCTATTTACCACAGTCACAAGTATGACAAACTGAAGTGAGACCCTCTTCCCTACCCCCTATTCAAAAGTTAAAGCTCAAGATGTCAGGTATAGCTTCTTTATTGGAACTCCCCAAACTTGTAGCAAAAAAGAAAATTAGTAGAAATCTTTCATAATATTATTAGAGGTAAGCCCTTTGTTGAAGTCAAATACCCTAAGAGTACAGGTCAGTAAATTAATTGCTCTGGAGATGTGAAATAATCCCCAGAACAACAACAAAAAAAGGTGGTCAAGAGTATCCTTGAGACTATAATATGACAAAATCTGATTAACTGTGGGACAACCTGGCCACAGTAAAGATGATCTACAGGGAGGTTATAAAAGAGAATAGAGATTTAATCAGATGCACGCTCACCTGAGGGATCACCGAGGTGGGGGAAGTACAAAGATCTGGGTTCAGATTGTCGGTGTTTTCCTTTTCTCTGTCCTCAGGAGTTCTTACTGGCTTCTGTGGTGGCTGTGGATCAAGAGGAATCTCGAAAGAGGCCCTAGAACTAGGACTTGGAGGCCCAGCCCCCAAGGAGGCCCTGGGGCTGGTGGGTGAACATGGTTCAGAGGCTGCAGGACTGGAGGGTGTGTTCCCTGAGGGGGTTCTGGAGCTGGGAGTGGCTCTGGGTGGAGGAGGCCTATTAGGGGGTGCTGAGGTCCTCTGGACAGGGGCTCTCTTCTTTAGTTGTTTAGACCCTTCACTTGAGGTTCGGGTTCGGAGGACAACTTCTGGGAGAGATGCAGGCTGCTCTGAAGGGATCAGGGCTCTGCCTGGGGATGGATCTGGGGAGCTAGAGAAAACTTCCTCCTGGGACTCGCCACCCTCAGTGGGCTGGGGAGAAGAGGGCTGGGCCTGGGTAGGGCCATTGCAGGCTGGCAGAGGCTCTTCCTCCTCAGAGGAGTTTGCTTCAGCCTCTTCTTTCTCCATTTCCTTTTCTTTTAAGGGCTCTTCTTTAATCTCAGAGTTGTCTTCTCCCTGAGCTGGATCCGACG